TCTGCCTCCTCCCCTGAGCGTGCTGTCACGTCATGCTTCTCCCCGCTCCCTCCCAGCGCTTGCGCCACAAAACAGCTGTTTCGCGCGGCAAGCCGGGGGAGGGGGGGGAGGAGGAGGAACAACGCAGTGTGCGTGGGGAAGAGGCGGGGCCAGGACGGGGATTTGGGGAGGGATCAAATAGGGGCAGGGAGGAGGTGGAGTTGGGGCATGGCCGTGGGCAGCTGTGGCTCCGGTCTCCCTCCCCTCCCCCAAGCAGCAGAGTTTGAGTGTGGGAGGGGGCAGGTGGTTGGGGTACGGGACAGGATGAGGCAGGCTCTGGGCAGCGCTTACCTGGGGGGCTCCCTGGAAGCAGCAATATCCCCCTCGCTCAGCTGCTAGGTGGAGGCATGGCCAGGCAGCTCTGTGCACTGCCTCTGCCCAGGGCATCACCACCCCTGCAGCTCCCATCGGCTGGGAGGCGGCCAACGGGAGCTGCAGGGGCAGTGCCTTCAGGGATTCACAGGCTGGATTTCCTTTCAGCCTAGGACCATTCCCCTTAGTTCAGTGTTTTTCAGGTATTCACCTTATCTCTCTGTGCTCAGAACATCAATGGAGAGGAGAGGAGGCTATAGGCATTTTCCTCCCCTTCTTATACCCCAACCCTTGTGTGCTGGAAAAATCCTTGCTGGGTCATGTGGGCAGGCAGTTCCATGGCATATGTGAGCTCCAAACTGTCTTTCAGGTGAATTGTAAATTTGTTGTTTACAATTCCCCTGCTGGTGAATCTCCAATTAAGCAGATAATGGCTCTTTAGCACTTTGCTGGCATGCCAGTGTGTCTTTGTCTCTGAGGAATTGCTTTATGGGTGTTACCCAAAATTACAACATATTTCAGTAACAATCTTACAGCAAAATCTCATAATTTAACATGCAGTGTTGTTACACACATTTCGACAGGATAATGATGATATTCAGCATATTATGAGTTTTCAAATAATACCTCACAAGGCATACTTTGTACAAAATATAACCATATAAAAGTGGTGAACATGGGGTACTGGGTGTCACATGGGGCACAGGGTGTCAAAATGTCCCAAGAAGTCTGAAAGCCATGAGAATGCCAAAGACTTGTTGCTCCTGATTTACTCCAGATCTTGATGAATGAGGACAGTGATTAGCTCAGGCTGACGATCCTGCTAAGAGATGCTATTCTATTTGTATTTCCCTAAGCACCAACCGCATGTCCAGATTTGTTTACAATCTAAAAGACAAACACAGAATCATAGAAGTATAGAACTGGAAGGGACCTCGATAGGTCATCAGGTGAAGCAGCACTGGGAGACTCAGAACAACTAGTAATGTGGTTTGTTTGTACAGGTGGGAGGGCGATGGTGTTATGTTGCTGCAGAATACAGACTGTGCACCCTTATGGAAGAAACAGATTCCCCAGGAGGGAATTAAATTAAGGGAAGTCTTACACTGGGTCCCCAGTTTCAATTAGATCCTCTAGGAACTCTCTAAAGCAGAGGTGGGCAAACTACGGCCCGTGGGCCACATCCGGCCCACGGGACCATCCTGCCCAGCCCCTCCCCTGCTGTTCCCTTTCCCACGCAGCCTCAGCTCACTGCGCTGCCAGCTCAATGCTCTGGGTGGCGAGCTCCTGGGGCAGCGCAGCTCCAGAGCCCAGCCTGACCCGGTGCTCTGTACTGTGGCGACGCTGTGGCTGACTCCAGTTGGGCGGCACAGCTGTAGCGCCGCCAGCCACCGATGCTCCAGGCAGCGCGGTAAGGGGGCAGGGAGTGGGGGAAGGGGGGGTTGGATAGAGGGCAGGGGAGTTTGGGGTGGTGGTCAGGGGTGTGGATAGGGGTCAGGGCGGTCAGAGGGCGGGGAACAGGGGCGTTGAGTGGGGGCAGGAGTCCCGGGGGGGCAGTCAGGAATGAGAGGAGGGGTTGGATGGGGCAGCGGGGGGCAGTCAGGGGCAGGGGTTCCGGGGGTGGTCAGGGGACAGGGAGCGGGGCGGGGCATGGGTCCCGGGGGGAGCCCGTCACAGAACCAGGGGGGTTGGATGGGGCAGGAGTCCCGGGGGGGAGGGGCAGATAGTGGGTGTGGGCCGGGCCACGATCCCCTCCCCTAACCGGTCCTCCATACAATTTTCAAAACCCGATGCAGCCCTCAGGCCAAAAAGTTTGCCTGCCCCGGCTCTAAAGTAAAAACAAACAACAACAACATTGTTCCAAGTGAAGGGGCAGCATGGACAAAAGCATGAAGATAAGAGTGGGACTAGAAACAAAAGCTTATGTTTGGAGACCAGGATACCTACAGCATTACAGCCTCACCTTGCTGTTCTCCATCTTAAAAGGTCCTTTGCAGGGAGACCCTTGTTGTCAAAGAGAATCAAATACAGCTGGGAGCAGGAGTCTGAGTCATTCATTTCACTGTGCAACTGCTGAGAGCAGTGCATGTAAAAAGGTTTATAAGCAAGCTGTCTGATGTTGTGACTACATAACCATTGTTGTGAGTGCGTTCTCAACACAACTAGTCCAAGAGCTCTCATTTAGGTTATGCTGATGTGCCTCCAATATCAAAAGGGTTCTAGCTCCTACTCATCTCCCCAGCCCAGTGTGCACTGTTATCACAAGATGGTTCCTGCAGTGGACTTCTCCAGCTAAGGTTGCCTCTCTTTCTTACTAGCTGAGTGATGGCTGTGCAGACTTGGGACTGACACCTCATCTTCTAATTGGCTCTTATGAAAGATGGCTATACCTTGCAAGCTCATGAACTACACACTTATAAGTGCATCTGCACTCTAATGCCAGGCTCCAAGAGCTTCCTCCACATCATCTGTTTCAGCGGTTTGCTCTCTGGAATAACTATAATACTATGCACAGTTGTTAACACTTTCCATCTGAGGATCTCAACCACTTCACATCTATTAATTTTAACAACCACTATGATGCAATTATGTATTTTTATCCCCATTGCATAGATAAGGAAATTGAGGCACAAAGATTAAATGACAACTTGCTCAAAGTCTCAATTATGAGTGAGTAACAAAAGCTAGGAAAAGAACCTAACAGTCTTAACTCTCAGTCTCCCATATATATCAGTCTCATCCTCTAAATCACTAGACAGCATTCTCTCCAAAATGTTAAAATGACAGAATGTTAACTAAATGAAAACAGAAATGTGCTACACCTCTGAACTAGAGAGTCCAACATGCTGGCCATTAAAAAATCCCTTACCTTTTTCCAATGATGTGTTTGAACATGAGAATTAAAAAAAAAAAAAAAAAAAAAGAAGACAGCAGCAGCTGCCGCCTTCTTACTTGTGCACAAAAAGTTGTATGTCATCTAGGATTTCATCTCTTACCAGAAGAATATAAATACTGCTTTTAGGATTCTACTGCCAAACAACTAAAAAGAATCTTCCGCATAAGATTCCCAGCACTCAGTTTTCCAAGATGCCCAGTGATGTACAGCATGTACCTGGGAGCAGAAAGCAGTTTTAAAATTCAGATTATCCTTTGGGGCGATTAGGACACACTGAAAATTTGTGCTCTAAGATCCATCCTTACTACTTATTAATGTAGGATGTACAAAGGGTTAAGATGTAATTGTTACTTGCTGCCCTTTCTGCTCAGCTTTTGCAGTGAATAGTTTAAACTGTATGTGATGAAACAGGCTGGCATAAAGTCAGGAGAATAAAGACAATATTTCAACCCTAGCTTTCAGTGTTTTCAGTTTATAATACAGTCCCTAGTGAAAAATATACACACACACACAAAATTTTACAATATCTAATATACATACAGTTACACATAAAAACTGTAAAAATAAAACAAATCTATTCATTACATGATGAGTTGTTATTTTTCCACCCACAAGACCCTGCCTCGTTCAGTGCACAGAACTGGTGCTCATGGGGCAGAATTAAGGTTAAACTGACAACTGTAAATGCAGCATGTCCTAATTTTTGAGTGCTTAACTTTGCAACCTAAAATAACATTATTTTAACGGTTTTTGTGAATGTCTGAATACACATTTCTCCAGAAACTCTCACACACAAAATGTGCATTTAACACACAGGTTAAACCAAAAAACAACACTGCCGACATTCAATCAGCTACAACTATCATCCTGCTGTACACAACAATCTCTCATAGACCCATAAAGATACATTGCAGAACACACAAAATACAAACTTTCAATTACAAAAGTAAAGTCCAAATTCCCTGAAATCAGTGTTGCTGTACCAATTTACACCAAGAGAAATTGGCCATATATAAATCAGATCCTTCTTTGAACAGATACCATATACCATCTTTCTCTTTCTAAATGTCAGATTTCAGCTCCTGACTCATGGAAAATGAAACCTTGAACTGCAGACACTGACAGCACCCAACAGACCTTTATACTCTTTGCTTAACAAGGAAAAAGTGCTTTGACTTGTAGCAGTCATATGTAAGCAGTTTTTTTTTAAATAGTACAGTGGCACTGCCTGCTACCAAAGAGATAAACACACTTAGTAGCAGACATGGGACTCTCACTTTTGGGACTGGTGACAGGTAATAGATCCCAAAGGTAGACGTTGTTTCTAGGTGTGAGGATGCCATTCTCATGTGGCTGTATGCAGAACAGCTATGCACAGTGTTGAACTGTGCAAAGAATGGATGGAGCAAGGCATTCTTAAGAGAGTGTTCCATTTTCCTTGCAAGGTTCTGTCATAACTGGTCTAAAACCCAACCAGAAATAAATCACGAGCAGAAAGAAATTTTAAGTCCACCCACAACATTTCAGAGATTTGTGAGCTCTCAAAGGGACACCATCAACTTGAAATCTAGTCGCTTTTCAAAAATGAGTTTCAAGTTGCCGAGTCACCTGCCACTGAGCCTTGCTGCCAGATTTTGTAGTTTACTGTGCTTTTAAAATGGTTTTTCCTTCCTCTTATAGTGTGAATTACACAAACAACAGAAGAAACTGATTAACTGATCATAGAGAGTGACTCAGACTATGGCAGCACTTTGTCAAAGCAAACAAACCAGGGCAGAAAAAATTCCCCCCTAACCTCTTTCACTTACAGGAATCTAAGTGTGTCTTGCAACAACAGTAGGTAAGCATGAAACAATATTATTTTTAAACTGATGGCTTCCTTTTAATAAACATTTAGCCTAGGGCAGGGGTTCTCATGACAAATTTTTGGTGGTCTCAGAGTGCGGCCACCAACTCTTGCTGGTGGCTGCTCTGACAATTTTTCCTAAAATACTTAATTAACTTTGGGAAATACAAATAAATATGCACATCAAAATCACTGTAATTTATTTATTGCTAGCTAGTAAGTCTGCTGCTGTAACAAGTGATATTCGTATGTTAATATTTTTCACAGCCTCCCAGCTAGCTTCTAAGTCTGCTGTGAAAAGTGATATTAACAAACATACAAGTATCACTTTTCACAGCAGACTTACTTAGTTCCGGCAATCCCGGGGGCAAATTAAGCCCTGGATGGGGAGGTGGATGGATAGGCAGCAGGGACCAGGGGTGATCAGGGGTGGGAGAGGCAGCGGGGAGCTAGAGCTGGAGCCTGAAGCCCGGGGACGGCACCCCAGGAAGGAGCTTGAAGCCCCAGGGCCGTAGCCCAAAGCCAGGGGACAGGGCCAGAGCCCGAAACCACGGAGCGCGAAGCCTGAAGCCCTGTGGCCAGAGCCTGCCACCCCAGGGCCGAAGCCTGAGCCCCACCCGGGAAGGTGGGGAACTCACAGGCTGCCTGCTCCTCCAGCGTTGTGCCCCAGGTGTCTCCAGAGGGGGGCAGGGCCCAACCCTTGCTGGCAGCCCCAGCAACCAGCACCAAGGCGGCACATCCAGGAGCAACAGGAAGGGAGAGGGGCAGCTGCCGCTGCCTTGCCCCCCAATCACTGCCCATGAGGCTGTGACCACAAGAAAAGCCCTGGGTGGCCGCATGCAGCCACGGTGGCAGCGTTTGAGAAACGCTGGCCTAGTGGCTAATAAAACCATTGCAAAGCTGGTCTAGTTAGGGCCTGGATCCTCCAAAGAACTCGCACCTCGGTGGAATCCCAGTAACTTCAGTGGGGCTCTCATGAGCATAGGCATGTGTCCACAGGCAGCTCCTTGCAGGATTAGGGCCTAAAAGACCTTAAAAAATTGGCAATAGCACTTCATAACATATAAGCCAAAATGATTTCTATGATTTAATGGATCCATATAGTAACACACTTGCGTGTGTGCGCGCGTATATGTGTGGGCGTGCTTGTGCGTGTCTCAGTAGACTGAAGTGTTGTTGTAGTTAAGTAGCATCAGAGTTTCCATAATACAACAGTATTTTTCCAAGGTATGTAACTCAGCTAAATGTGTTTCAATTTGTTCAAGGAAAGTGCATTTCTCATTAACACTAGATAGAGAAGATTATGAGTTAATAAGCAAGGGAGGCGGCTTACAGCTCCAATTTAATGGAACAGCTACAGGTCAGAGACCCTAGCACAGAGAAGTAATTAACTACTCTTTCTGGGTCTCGAGGCACTAGAGCAAGAGATCCAGAAAAAAAAGCAGCAGATGAAATAAAAATAAAGACCACGTACAAACGAGTCTGATCACATGAAAACATCAATAGCCGAGACTTTGAAGCCTTTTCCATACATAACAGTTGCTGCATCAATTGTCATTAGGTTTTGTAATTATTACTGATAAAAATGGACTCTTTCGTCTTTTCTCCTTCAAATCCTCTTCAGAACCCACTTCCTTCAGCTTGCCTTCCATAATTCATCTCCACTTCGAACCCATCTGCTCACTTCCTCCCTCCTCACCCAGTATACAATTCAAGATAAACACAAAGAAGAATAAAATTATTCTATGTGAATCCTTTGTAGATAATGCTTATGCCAGAGTAGCTTCCCTGTCTCCCTGTTTTCTGTGGTCTCCTCTCTTCCTTAGTCTGCTGTCATTCTTCTTGGGTTTCTGGCAAACAGAGGGGGCTAATGATTAAAATCCAGGCTTGGGACTCTGGAGCCCTGGTTTCTAATCCAGCTCTAACTCAGAAGACAGTGTTAAATTAGGAAGGTCACTTAACCATTCTTTGCTTTACATTTCCCCATCTTCAAAATAGGAGTAACACTTATTTAACCTCCCAGGGAGGGTGTGAAACTCAAATCAGTTAGGCCCTGATCCCGCAATCAGATCCCTGTAAGCGGACCTTTGACTACAATGCAGTTCTGCACTAGTACAAGGATCTGCCCCTGCAGAATCAGTGGGTACATGTTCACAGGGATTAAAGACCTGCAGCATGGCCGTGGTTGGCTTGGGTCAGCTAACTTGGGTTTGCACGGCTCTGGCTCGCAGGGCTAAAAATTACTGTGTAGACATTCAGGCTTGGGCTGAAGTCCAAGCTATGGGACCTCCAACCTTGCAGGATCCCAGAGCTCAGACTCCAGCCCGAGCCTAAACGTCTACACCCGGGGTGGCCAATCTGTGGCTCCGGAGCCACATGCAGCTATTCAGAAGTTAATATGCGGCTCCTTGTATAGGCACTGATTCCGGGGCTGGAGCTACAGGCGCCAACTTTCCAATGTGCCAGGGGTGCTCACTGCTCAACCCCTGGCTCTGCCACAGGCACTGCCCCCACTCCACCCTTTCCCTGAGCTTGCAGTACCCTCGCTTCTCCCCCCTCCACCCCAGAGCCTCCTGCATGCCACGAAACAGCTGATCGGGAGGTGCAGGGAGGGAAGGGGAGGCACTGATCGGAGGTGCTGACGGTGGGTGGGAGGTGCTGGGAGTGGGGTGGAGGGGCTGCAGACGTATTACTGTGGCTCTTTGGCAATGTACATTGTTAAATTCTGGCTCCTTCTCAGGCTCAGGTTGGCCACCCCGGTCTACACAGTGATTTTTCAGCTCAAAGCCTGAGCCCTATGAGCCAGGCAGCTAACCTGAGCAAGCTGCAGGTTTTTTATCCTTGTGTAGACATATACAGGTGTTTGTGACACCTTGGATCTGTTGAGATCCGTTTGTAGAAAGTTATAAGTAAGTGCTAAGTACCACTGCAGAGGGTAAGGCAGACACTTGAACTGCAAAGCACCATGCCCATCATGAGTTTGAGATGAACAACAATAATAGTCATCTTAATAAAAAAGGAAATAAACAGTTGTAATCAGGAACCTCTAAGACAAAAAAAATAGGTATCATGGTCAGTGTCTTAGTGAAGCTTGTGGTCCTGTGAACACATGTTGGAGGGAAGGAGACTCTTTCTTGTTAGTCACTTTTCCTTTGCTAGTCAGTCCTCTACACTGTATGTTTACCTGCTATTCAAGCTAAATATAATCTGAGTAGGAGTAAATCAGGCACATAAAAAAATGTGTCAGTCAAAGTCAGCCCAATTTGAAATATGAAAATCAAATGTGAAATATGAATACCAAATATGAGAATACCAGGTTGTAGCAGGGTGGTTACCCCGCTCCTGCCTGAGGGGTTTAAAACAGCCCTGGCA